AAATAAATGGAAAAGAAATGGAAATAAATTCTTATGGCAGCCCTAATTAACAACAGTCAAAAGATTAAATGATACTAAAGAATAATCCTCAGTTGTATTTCTAAAATAAATGGTTAAGCTCAAGTTTTCTAGTGACCCCGTAGCTTTCCTGTGATAAGCCGTAAGTCTAGAACAGTTTAACCTAAGAAATATAGCAGTTTGTACTTTAACTCTTCCAACAACAATGCTCCATTTATTTATTTTTACTTTTAAATAGTATTTTGTCTCAAACTTAATATCTGTTTATTTTTAATGAGATGTGTAGAATAAAGTAATTTTGATGAAATGATACTTTTTTTTTTGATGCCACACAAGAACCTTCAGAAAAACAAAACCATACCAATGGTTATCCTGTTTTTACAGTGTCTGTTTTTAAAAAATATCATGCCTTTAAAACTCGCTGGTGGGTTTCAAGAGAATTAAAAGTTAGAGGAAGTGCTGCAGTAAGAAATTATTTTTATTGCTGATTAATCTGTTGATTATTTTCTTGACTAATCGTTTGGTCTTTGAAAAGTCTGAAAATGGTGAAAAATGTCGAGCAGGGTTTCACGAAGCCCAAGACGATTCCCTCAAACGTCTCCTTTTGTCCACAACCCAAAAATGTTCACTTTTCTGTCACCGAGGAGAAAAGAAACCAGAAAATATTTAACTTTAAGAAGCTAAAATTAGAGAATGTGACTTTTTACTTCCTAAAAAATGACTCAAACTGATGAATTACTATTCAAAACAGCAGGTGATCAATTTAGCCTTTGACAGCTAATCAGTTATTGCAGCAGCTCCGGTCAAAGGCAGAGGGTCTTCTGTAGTCCTGTAAATTCAAACACTGAGTGATGATGTCCTCCACATAGTTTGACTGTGTAACTGTTTGCAAGCAGCCTTGAAATACACACCGACACGCAGCGCCTCTGTCCGTCTCTCAGCCTATATGATATATTTTCCACTGGCAGCAGAGAGCACAGATTCCCCACAGTGGGTCACACACAGCATTACATTCAGGGTCATACAGCATTACAATTCACAGGGGCTTTTGCAGACACATAGCTCCCATGCCTCAGCAGGCAGTCACACAGTGGACAGTCCCTCCTCCTGGAGGTTATAAATGACTTCCTCTGGCTTCCTTCCAACAGCCCTTCAATAGTCAGCCCACTTCTCCTGATTAAAGCCCCTCACCCCCAGCCCTGCGCTATCTCCGTCTCTCCTTCTGGAAAAGACGGTTGGACGGACTCTGATACGTCGTCGGAGGAAGAGGAAGTCCTGACAAGAGGTGATTTTCACGATACGCTGAGGTTTAGCAAAGTGTAGGAGGTGTGTTCTTATCTAGTGTGTGTGTCTGCCACATGTAAAGTCTCCTGATGATGCCACAGCCGTTGACCCACATTGCAGCTCCCTGCAACTCAGTCAAAGAGTATCAGGTCATAAAGCATAAATAAGGTCCGCATTAAAATCTGACAGCCAGCTACTGCAGCAAATGGGTCTATGATTAACAGTGCAGCTGCCAAAAATACACACCCAGCCGTTGCAGCTTGTGTCAAATAACAAATCAAATGACTAATCACTGCCTCTTACAGTAATGTCATCATGGAAACTAGTGTTACATGTCAAGCCAAGAAGGGAGCTGTGCTTTTATTCGACTGGATTTTAATCGTTTTCAATGAGACACAATATCGAAGCAGCAACAGGACTCGCTGAAAGTCGCACAAACTACACACACGCACACACACACACACATCTCCAGATCGGGGGATTAGGTAAATGTGCCGTAACAGAAAGCACAACGGAGCACATTTTCCATTTCTAAAAAGTGTGTGCAAAGCCCGTTCACAGCTTCCTCTCCTTTTATTCCCTCATTGTTTGCTCTCCAAAGTCTCTCAGCAACGCCTGTGTGTGCGTGGCCTTGTGAGGAGCTGCCCACCCCTCCATCCCCACAGCCCAAAATACTCCCTCTTTTATCACTCTCGTTGCTCTCTCTGCCCACTGTCATGTCACTGTCCCCGCCTTCTTCTTTCAAACTCACTCATTACATCTTTTTTAGGTTGAGACTCAAGTTAATCTAAAAATCTTCCCCCCTCTGTTCAGCTCTTCCTGGAAAATTCTCTCAAATGCCGAGAGTCGTTGCCCAACTGCTTTTGGCCTCTGGAAAGTGTCATTTCACAGAAATGTGCGTCGCTGCATATCTAAAAGATGACACGCTTGTATGTATTTCACCAGTTGAAGGCTCTGGGGTGGCCAGTAGACAGTGGGTCGGAGGTCCGGATCTTGTTCAAAGACATGTCGGTAACCTGTGACCTTCCAGCTCACAAGACGATCGCTGTGTCAGACAGATCGCCAACAAAACACCAATGACTGCCACTGACATCCATGCGCGCGCACACACACACACACACACACACACACACACACACACACACACACACGAACATATTAGTGCTGGCTCCTGCGCAGCATCTAATGGTAACTTATCTATGGAAACTTCCACAGCTCAGGTGTTTAAGTGATTAACAACAGCCAGAGGGAGAGAGTTTTTTTTACCTTCCTGCCTGTTCTCCACAGTCTGATTCTTCCGGTGTGTTAGCTTTTGATATTTCAGTTTATTTCTACTCAGCGTGAATTCATTGTTCTGACATAAACATGTAGACAAAACA